AAAAAAAAAAAGAAATTATCAAGGTAACTAGACAGTGGTGGCCCACACCTTTAATCCCAGCACTCAGGAGACAAAGGAAAGTGAGTTCAACAGCCTGGTCTACAGAGCAAGTTCCAAGACAATCAGGGCTACACAGAGAAACCCAGTCTCGAAAGGCCAAAACTGACGGGAGCCATATGCCTAAGCAACCCTTGACACACAGGCTGCCATATTTGGGTTTCTCTCCTCTTTTCTTAGATCTAGGCCTTGCTTAAGTCTTCCCACAGATACCAGAACCTCTTCTCAGATATCAGGTGAATGAGCTGCAGTTAAGCAATTAGACAGTTAGACAAGGGTAGATAGATAACCTTCAGGGCAACATTGCCTGCTGGCCGAACAGCCCATAAGTCCTTCCTGCTCTCAACCCCCTTTGCCTACCTATATATGCCTTGAAAGAAAAACAAAATTTTGGAGCTTGATCAGACGCCCTGTCTTGCTCTCATTCTTTGTGTCTCTTGTCCCTCTCATTTGCCTGCCCTCCCTTTAGGTCCCGTTGAAGGCCCCGCTGGCAGGGGCACAAAACAAGAAATGATCAAGTTACGTTCACTACAACTCTTCTGCAACAAGAACCTATAGAATACTCTTTCAGTATAGACAGTTATTTACAGTGACACACATGTATGGATTATATTAGTGTTTACCTCAACTTAGATATTAAACTTTCATACATCAAACTACAAATAAACAATTAGGATCCGTTCTTTATCTCTGCTGAGATAGGTTAACAGATAAAGGTGTTTGCTGTCAAGCTGACTTCAGCCCCCAAGACCCACAGGGAAGGAAAGAACCTACTCATGAAAGCAGTCCTGTTTTCCACGCACGCACGCACGCACGCACGCACGCACGCACGCACACCTCACTTTCTCCCTCTCTCAATAAAACCCTCATCACTGTAACAGTCCAGTTACCATGACAGCCAGATTATATTACATGAAAGGAATTCAATGAATGTAAAATTTTGAAATAAGTTAGGCATGGTGAAGCATGTGTCTAACTCCAGTATTCAGGAGGCAGAGGCAGGAGGATGGCAAGTCTAGACCCAGACTGAGTTAGTAAGTTTGAGGGAGCTTGGGCTAACATGGCAAGATCCTTTCTCAAAAAAAGAAAATTATACACATACATTATATTATTTGTATAGAATATTATTATATTTTTACACATTTACATATTAGCAAGTGTAAATTATATTTTCATCCAGAGGTTCTGAAATAATTATCTTTCCTTGTAGTCCTGCAATTGTTACCAGCACAGGAAATATTACTCAAATATTACTCAAAATATACTCTATACAGAGTGTCTGACCAGGATAACAATTTTTTTCAACATATTTCAACTTTAAATGCTATCTGTTTAGAGGTGGCCCCACTGATTCGGGCAACAGTTGAGGGGCTGGAGCGATACTTCTGCAGCTGAGCACTTCTGCTCCTGGAGCAGACCCAGATCAGGTATACACACACACACACACACACACACACACACACACACACACACACACACACACACACACACATATACACACACCTGTACTCACACGTTTACACACACACACACACACACACACACACATAAACCCCAGTTCCAGGGAACCCAACACCTTCTTCCAGCTTTCAAGAGCACCAGGTACACACACTGCACACACAGACAGACACGTAAACAAAAAC